CTCAGCTGACGAATTAGAAAATGAATAAAATAAAATTAATTTTTTAAAATTATTACCAAAAAAGGGGGTTGCTTATTTTAGGGGTTTGCTTATTATCGGGACTTTACGGTATATACATCGAATACTTTGCATTTCATAGTACAATTTTTTAGAATTCCTAAAACAGATGAAGAAATTGAAATTTGAAAAGCAGAAATATAAAAAAAAGCAACAAATTCATTAAAATGCAATTTACACCGGTGAAACTTTTCTTCAAAATTAATATCAATTCCAATCGATACAGGTACGTACATTTTTTTACATTAATCAAAATGACATTGAATATACATGTATCAAACATTTAGGTTTTACAAGTGTTAGTTTGTATGTTCCAAATGAAGGAGCAATTTCTTTAAGTATACCACACGAAATCGAAGAGAATGAAGATATGCAAGAAAACTAGAGATTTAGATATTGACGTTAGCGGATTATGTCCAAATAGCATTGTAGAATCCGCGACACAAAGTATGCAATTAGAACTTTATATTGAATCTGAAATTGAATAATTAATAAAAATGAAAAACCTAGCTTTATCTCTGAATTCGCTTAATAAGCGGCTCTCGATTTCTTTAAGTATAATCTGGATTTCGGTGAAAATTTGATAAAATTAATAACATTTGCTTTGAATATAAATTTGAAATTGGAGGTTCATATATATCTATCTATACATATATATAAAAGATATAAAAGTAAATTATCATTCTAAAAAAGTTGTGTACCGTGACCCAAGAAAATAATTCATTCACCAAATTTAGTGTAAAAAAAGAATAGGTGTTCAAGTCCATACTCATGTATTACATGGCACAAGTATGGGAGAAATCACTTCCGATTCCAAACTTTTACCCACTGAATTAAAAGTGGCTTGTTATAATTAGATAAATTATAAATTGACATTGTATATAATAATACTAATTAGGAAATGTCAAAGGTTAATTATTTATAAATTTGATATAAATGTATCAATATTTGTTCGCTTCGGATGTGTTCTCTTTAGTCAATATGGTCTATTATTATCGTTACCGAGATCATTGCTATTATTAATCATTTTATTTTTTGCATTATTGTTTAAAGGGATGCTTTTTTGTATCAATCATCAGATGGTAAGTGCATGTCGTGTACAACAGTATGTTTATAAGAACACTGTTCCTTTTTTTTTCTTCTTTGCTAATAACAGAGAAATTCTTTAATTTTCTAATATATTTTCACGTGTTCTATCGAAAAAATACTGCCGTTTATTCTGACGCCCTATTAATATAATAAAATGGAAAAATATAATAAAATGGAAAAGTATAACGATGATCATGAAAAGAAGTCTTTTCTGTCCTTTATTACGAGGTCGGTGGTTAGAGTTGTTCTCGCTCAAGATGGTATTTATACATATATTTTTTGTTCGAATATTGGAACCGCCTTTGAACAAAATGGATTATTCTAAGAAATTATTTACTTAATAATAGGTCGAGAAGACTTCGTCTTTGAGTTTACTTTGAATTCATACAACAATGAAAGACGATGCGCAATTTACCATCCCACGAAAACAACCGAACATTTTCTAGCATATGCAAGTAAGATAGATAGACCACAGATAGTCAGCGTAACTTTTCAACCAGGAACAGCAAAAGAACGTTTCAAGAAATTTAGAAAGTTCAAGCTGTTTAAGAATTCGTCGTCGTCTTCATCGCCATCAACAAAAGATTGCATCCATCTTTTACACAACACGATTCAATTTGATGCAATCGAAGAAAAATATCAAACGATAATCCGACCAAACGACTCGTGGGGTTTATCGATAGGTATCGCCAAAAATACTCTGTTAGATTCCTCGGATTATTTTCGATGGGTGCGACCGATACAATTTGAACTTTTGGTGGATGAAAAGTTGCTTTTGAAAATCAATGAGTTAAAGAGTGAGCGAAGACACAATAGGAAAAATAAGTGTTGGATTTCCAAGTTTGCGTGCTGTGCGAAATAAGTATTAGGTTGTTTAAAAGCAAGGGTTAAGCTTGAGCTGGTTTTGTGATTAAATTGAATATGGGAGTATAAACTTTGGTTTCATGTAGATAATGTAAGTAAAATAGAATTTATGTATATATAATATATATATAATATGTATATATATACATGTATATTATAACAGTATTTTGCGCAGTGTTTGCTTAATAAAGTTCAGAAATTTCAATAGCTTGATTTTAGAAGGATTATTACATGCTAGAAAAAACAAACATTCTTTGTCTGTTGACTTGTGTCTATTGCAATTTTATATTCTATACAAATTTATATTTTGAAAGTTTACAAACTCTTTCTTTTCCTATACTTACTTAATTTTAAAGTACTAGTATTAATAGTTAAACTACTATTCTCATTTAGTTAGATCGTATTTAACTCCTATATTCCTTCACTTTTTCGTTTACTTTTTCATATTAATATTTCTCATAATAACTTTGTTCTAGCTTCTGAAAGTTAATAATTAGATTATTTTTGTCTAGTTAAGCTTGAAACTTTTGTTTTTAGACTTTATTTATTATATTTTTATAAATTAATATTTATTTTCTTTCTTTTCTCTTTACTTATTTTTACTTTCTTTTGCTTGTTGTAAATTTCTCATTTATATAATTTTTTGTCTGGTTTTCTGATTATCATATTATTTGATTTTTTTTCTTATTTATTCTTATCTTATATATTTATATATATCAAATCCATATTAGAATATTTTTTTATTCTAAAATTATATTATCTCACAAATAATTAAACTTTATTTCTTTTATTATGATACTAATTTTTATATATATCACACACTAACTTGTTGTAATTTATAAATAAATTTCATTTTTAACTAATTATATTTTTTTAATTAAAAATTTATCAGATTTAGCAAAATATTTTTTTATTTATTTAATAGATTTTATGATTAAAAGTCTAAAATAAAGAATTTAATACAAAAACTCTGTATTTCTTGAACAGTAGGATTATAACTTTTTTCTTTATATTTATTTTTCTTTCTATTTTAACTTATTACTTTTATTTTAACATATATTAATTAGAAATTATTTCTTTTATTTCAATTATTTATCCTCTTATATATTAATTTATAACTATATATTTTAAATAAAAAAGATTTAGATACAAAAAATTCAATATTTTTATTCAAGTTATTTAATAATTCTATTTAATAATATCTTTTCTTTAATAATTAGCTTTTATATAAAGTTTTTTATCTTTTTTTTCTTTTTTTTAAATTTTCATCTTTAATTTTTATTTGTTTATATAAATTTTAATAAAAATTAATATATTATAAAAATTACAAAATTTTATATTATAATATCAAGAATTTTAATTCTATTACAAAGAAATTTCTTGAATTTAAACTATTTTTTTACAAATATTAAATATTATTATTTTAAGATTATAATATTTTATTTTTTATATTTATTTAAAGATTATATTATAATATAATCTTGAATAAATTTTAAGATAACTAATTAACTTAATATAATATAAAAAATCTTGACTTATTAATTATATAAATTTATTTTAATTTTATATATATAATATAATATATTATATTATATACAATACATTACAAAAAAAATCATAATTACTATTTTTACTTATATTCAATGAATATTTATTTAATTCATATAAAATTTTAAAT